GCGCGCGGCCGTGCGGCGAGCGGCCCGAGGAGCTGCTGGAGCAGCTGTACGGGCGGCTGGCGGCGGGCATGCTGAGCGCCTTCCACCACACGCTGCAGCCCGAGCCGCCCGGCCGCGCGCTCAACGCCAGCTGCCCCGCGGGGGCGCGCCCGCCGCCCGACAAGAGGTTCCGCCTGCCCGTCAACCTGCGCAGCGCCTCGCCCTGGGCCTACAGGTGAGCGCGGCGCCGCGCGGCGCTGCCTGCCCAGCGCCCGGGAACCGCTGGACATCGCGCGGCCGTTAGGGACCGCTGGGGAGTCACCCAGCAGCGCGGCCGTTAGGGACTACCCAGGGAGCTCGGCTGTTGGGAACCTGTCAGGGACCGTTGGGGAGTCATCCGGCAGCGCGGCCGTTAGGAACCACCCAGGGAGCACGGCCGTTGGGAACCTGTCAGGGACCGTTAGGGAGTCGCCCGGCAGCGCGGCCGTTAGGGACTACCCAGGGAGCTCGGCTGTTGGGAAACTCTCAGGGACCGTTAGGGAGTCACCCGGCTGCGCGGCCGTTATGGACTACCCAGGGAGCTCGGCTGTTGGGAACCTGTCAGGGACCGTTAGGGAGTCACCCGGCAGCGCGGCCGTTGGGAACCTCTCAGGGACCCTTGAGAGCCACGCGGCAGCGCAGCCGTTATGGACCGTTAGGGAGTCACCCACAGCGCGGCCGTTAGGGACCGCTCACGGAGCGTGGTCGTTGGGAACCCCTCAGGGACAGTTGGGAGTCACCGGCAGCGCGGCCGTTGGGGGCTGCCCTGGGGCCGTTGGGAGCTGCCCGGAGCCGGTTGGGAGTCACCCGGCAGCGCGGCCGTTAGGGACCGTTGGGAGTCACCCGGCAGCGCGGCCGTTGGGAACCGCCGCGGCGCCGCTGGGCGCCGCTTGCCTCCCCAAGTGCTCTCAGTGGGAGGCGGAGGGGCGAGCAGGGTGCAGGGGCGGCTGCCCCGGCCCCGGCTGGAGCGCCCTGGCTGGAGGGCCCTGCTGGGGGGACGTGTCTGTGCCGGCCCCTCGCCGCGCTCCAGGTCCCTGCCCCGGCAGCCACGGGCGTCTCCCGCAGAGCCCCGGCGGGCGCCGGGCGTCCTGGTGCGCCCGGGCGCTGCGCGCGGAGCCCCTGCGGGCTCCCGCCTTGCGGGGGCTGCTGCCTGCACGCCACGGCCCTGCGAAGCGCGGCGGTAACGCGGGGGTCACGCGGCGCCCGCCCGGCGTGGCGGTGGCCTCCCCGCAGGTTAGGGGAGCGGTGCGGTGAAGGCCCGAGAGCCCCTGGCCCGGGCAGCGCGCACCACGGGGAGGGGAGATGCGGAACGGAGCGTGAGGCGACACTCACAGACACAGCTCAAGGCGGCTGATGCGAGTTATCATTAAGCAAAATTAATGCAAAAAATTACCGTGCAGCCCCCGTCTCATAACCGTGCAGTGCCTCAGGGCCCGGGCGCCCACGCTGAGAGGCGGGTGGGCTGGTGTGGGGGCTGCGGGGACCACGTTGCATCCGGGGGCATCAGGGCTAGGAGTCCCACCTCCCAGGCGGCCGCCGGAGCGCAGCAAGGAGATCTGTGGAAGCTGCAGATTTCTACATCAGCACTTTCAGAAACACCCAAGGTGATACAGGAGTTGATAGACCCCTGGAGATATAATGTTTAAGTAAAGCAAATCTAGTGCTTTGCTAGTTGACACACAGGAGCTTCCTCTTCTTCTGCAAACTCCAGAAAAGCAGAAAACTTCTAACCCAGACCTCCAGGAGCGGAGTTTGCACGTGTTCTCTCTCTCAAGGCTGCTCTGGTAGTTTCGTCCGAGTGACAGAATTGGTTTAACTGTTTTCATCTCTCATCTCAAAACCCTGCTGGCCGCAGGGAGGGAGCTGAGACACAGGGAGACTTTAAAGGAACCGATTCTCTTCTTTCTGGATATGATCTTCATAAACACCCTGACACTTCTACTGTATATTCAGCCTATGTAAACAAAACTACCTCCCTGTTAGTGATAGCCAGTAAGTATTTATTTTGTGGCATGCCTTTTGCGAGGTTTAAGTATTCCCACTGAGAGAAAATGGTTTATTTGCTCAGTAAGTCTTTATTAAACAAAGTATTTATAGAAATAGTATTTTTAGCTAAATTATGTTTTCTGTAAACATAGTGAGCTTAAGCTGTCCAAACCTGCAAAAAGCAAGAAGGATGAGAGGCACATGTGCCCCGTGCTGTGTTATTCTTACGCTGGTCCTGCCAAATACTGGGGCCTCAGAATATTCCTCTCCAGGTCCAGAAGTGACGATTCCTGCGCTCCCGCGTTGGGCTGCTGTTTATTTTCGGTTGGAGCTGTGTACAGGCGTAGCTCTTCACACAGAGCCAGCTGTTGTTTGGGGTACAGAAAGTTTATTAAGAAGCTGTAAACCCGCTGTGCTTTGCCCTCAACGTTCTCAAACACAGCGGGCAGAGCACTGATTGCTCGTGTGTGAGCTACTTGATGGAATGCATTTGATAAAGAATTGCTCCTTGTTCATACCTAGATGAGCAGTCCAAATTCTGAAATTAAAAAGCGGGGTAGAAGAAAAGGGCTGCTCACAGAGGCAAGGTCTAGAATAACACTAGGGAAAAATCACTTTCTATAGGATGCAGAGACCCAAACGCGCTACCTAGGAACAGATCTCCCTGGAAGTATTTGGTGTTTTTTTTCCTTGATATGATTTTTACAGTGTCATCAGTACTGCGAGCTAGCAGCAAACACCGCGGGAGCTGCACTAAAAGCATAAAGTCACGACGTGCTCGTCATGGGCAGTGCCGGGCCTCTGCTGTGAGAAGCTGCCCTTGCGGTAGGTGCCACCGTGCCCGGCACGGACGGCCCCGGCGCCCTGTTCGTGTTCCCTGTGCCAGCCCGTTASCGCTGCTCCGTCCCGAGCCTGCCCTCCTGGCCGCCCGGCTCTGCCCACGCTCCCTGCCCGGCTCTTTCACACTGCGCCGTGGGGTTTCTCTGCTCCCTTGACGGTTCGCTCCAAGTCGATGGGATTTTTTTCAGATAAGTGTTTGTGAGAAAGAATCAAATCCATGCCCGAGAGCTCCGTGTCCAGCCTTCGCCAGTCGCGTCACGTTTGTCCACTTTGTCGTCCCGTGCAGTGCGGGAGAGTCGTGTTTGATGGGCTAGAAGTGYAGCTAGTCTTTGTGTGGCCTCTCTGCTTGTCTTCGATGTCTGCCTACCATCTATTTTCTATTACTTGGTCTTTAATTCAGTTATAAAAACTCAAGACTTACATCATTTTTGGCTTGCTGCACCCCAGCAATACAGCAGTTGTGCAGGGACGGTGCACTGGACTTATCTGGTCCAAGTCATTGGGGCAAAGGCAGGGAAAATAATTCATCTGTCTGATACTGAAATTCCATCGCGGTGGCCACGGGAGAGCTGTTTATCACTCCTAGCACTGAATTTAATCACCCGGATCACTCTTTACCCCGCAGAGCTGTAAAGAGACCAGAGATCCCTGGCCCGAGGTCAGTCTCGCTGAGCGATGCCTCGTGTGCCTGGATTTGCTTCCCACCTCRGGAAGCCGGGCTGAGAATTGCCCAGTGCTTTGGAAAGGGAGAGGCAGTGGCAGTAGAAGCCCCTGTGGTGACATGAGGGTGTGATGTCCAGCAGGAGCTCCCATGATATTCCACGGATGTTTGGTGGCATCCGGCGCAGTCGGCTGGTCCTGGGAGCACTCTCTGCCGTGGCCGCTTGGAGCAGCTGCTTCGCGGGGATGAGTGCCGGGGATGGCGCCTGCAGGGAGCCCCAAGCACGAGACATCCCTACCAGTTCAAGCCAGGTCCAGCTCCGCACACACCAGTAACCGACTGACTGCGCAAGGGCTGAATTTGCCACCTGTGCCTACCCGGTGGTGGAGGCGGGAAGCCGTGTTCCCGCTGCAGTGCGTGGCCCCCAGCCCGGCCTCTCGTTGCTCGCTGGCTGTGCTGCACCAGTGCCCTTCTGCTGGCCGTGGGCTCGGGCTTCACCTGCCCGCGTCCTGATGTCCAACGGCGCCCATGCGGCTCAGCTCCGTCCGCAGCCACGTCTGCCTGTTGCACAAAGGGTTCTGTGGCCTCGAAGCGTCGTTCCCGGCTCTGGCTTCCAGGTGTCACCCGCGGTGGGTCTGGGAGCCTCCTCCTGTGCCGGGATTGAGGGGCAGAGGTGGGTTTGGAGCCACAGAAGCTCAAGGCCTGAGCCTGCCTTTTGCTTTGTTCTGTATCCAGCCTGCTGGCACTGCGCAAAACACACTACAGAAAGAAGATCCCTTTGCAGGCTGCCCGGAGACAGTGTTTCCCATGAGAGATTATTTGCTGATAAATGATAAAATAATCAGCAAAATTTCTCAGCATCTTTTTTAGGATTCCTTTTTACACTCCTGTTCATTTACTGAATCCATAGTGAGGAACATACAGTAAAATAGAGACTTAATTTTTATTCTTCACGTTGATCACGAAATCCAGTTTTAGCTCGTCTCCTTCTCAAATACTGCCTAGCTTGTTCTACTCTTTGAAAGCCAGTTGCTGTCATAAGCACTGGGAGGCCAGTGCTCAGTTACTTCCAACTTTAATAAAAGCAGCTGCAGACAAGTCTAAAACGAAGCCAAGCCTGTCTGGGAACCCCGCAGCACGTCGGGAAAGGCGCACGGGGTGGGAGGGGGGGCTCTGTGTCCGAGATGCCCCCCAAGCACCCGCACGCGTCGCTGCCTGCTTGAACCCCTTCGTGCCGCACAGGGATGTTATCGGGATCCCACATCCGGAGCATCCTCTCTTTACCTTGCACTCGGAAATACTCACAGCATTAAGAGCTAGCAACTCTTTTTTCTTTTTTTTTCCCCCCCTGTAGCTAGCAACTTGTTTTTTAGTTTTCTTCTCTCGGTGAGACATTTATTCCTCTCTAGCAGGTGTTGGGTTGTTGAACTCACGTTAAGCTTTTGCTCGGTGTGGGGATTTGGAGCAGGCCTGTACACAGTGAGGTGGCTGCCGGCCAGTTTTCGCCTCTTCAGGAGGACACACAAACAGGGGCTTGTCGTATCACAGAGCCACAGGACCACAGAGGGCACAATCACAGAAGGGTTGAGGTTGGAAGGGACCTCTAGAGATCACCCGGTCCCACCCCCTGCTCCAGCAGGGACACCCAGAGCACGGGGCACAGGGTGGCAGCCAGGCGGCTTTGGAAGATCTCCAGAGAAGGAGACTCCACAGCCTCCCTGGGCAGCCTGTGCCAGGGCTCTGGCACCCTCACAGCAAAGAAGTTCTTCCTCATGTGCAGATGGAACTGCCTGGGTTTCAACTTGTGCCCATTGCCCCTTGTCCTGTCACTGGCCACCACTGAGAAGAGCTTGGCCCCTTGCTCCCTACATTCTCCCTTCAGGTACTTAGACGTATTGATCAGATCCACTCTCAACTTTCTCTTCTCCAGACTAAACAGGCCCAGCTCAATCTCTGCTCATACGAGAGATGTTCCATCTATCTAGAGGACCTCAAGAGATCCTCTAGCCCAATGCCCTGCTCCAGCAGGGACACCTAGGGCATGARAAACAGCATCCAGGTGTGATGGGAAGATCTCCAGCGAGGGACATTGGAAAAATATCCCAGTCATGCTCAGGGCAGCGCAGCGTTGCTGACGCCCGGGAGCTGAGGCTGCGCTCTCRGCTCCAGGGGAGCAGGCCAGTGCTCGACTGAAGACGCTGGCGCCGACACTCTGGGCACCCTGGCGTTTGCCAGGCATTTGCCAGCAGTTCTGCCCGGATCACACCAGGCTGCCCACAGGGACCAGGCGGAGCCTGTGGCTGCGCTGTGTGTGCACCGAGATGTGAGCTGGAGAAACCTGCGTGTGGCTCCAGCGTTGGGTGGCCTCGTAGCTCCGCGAAGGGTTTGGAGATGCGGCTGCCAACAGTTGGCCTTCAGGCCTGGGCTGCATGCAGAGAACAGGTCCGTGCTTTGGATCCATTCCAAGGGTTTGGATCCACGATGATTCTTTCTCATCCTCTTACGAAGGAATAGTGGTATCTGCGCCACTTCCATAGGAATGGAAGAGAGGGGGGGGGGTGTCCTTCTCTCTTTTTCTTTTCTCCTTTTCTCTTTTCTGTGCTTTGCTTTGCTTTTCTTCTGTTTTGTTTCCCAGCAGCAAGTCAGTTATGATCCCCACACCATCTTGCTGGAAAAAACAGCCCCCAATTACCCCTTATTTTTGCCATGTGTGAATCTGTGAAGGGAATGTTCACGTCTCAAGATTCCCATGAGGCTTTTTTTCTGGTTATTAGTAAAAATCCTCGTGTTTACATCAAAGCATTTTCGTGCTTTCCAGGAGCATTGTAACCCAGGTGCTAGAGATAACACAACTTAGGAAATACCGGTGCCTTGGCACRTGGAGCACAGAACGATCCGCCGCTGGAGTGACTCGCAGTTGGGTTTGAGAGGGGAGCGCCTTGCGCGGAGCGGGGCCGCTCTGCTTGGCTTTCTCTCTTGCTGCCGACCAGCACACGTTTTATTTCACACTGCTGTGAGATCCTGAGACATGAGGGCATTTCCTGGGGAAGTAAGGGATGCAAATGGGTTGCGAAAAATAAAATAAAATAAAATAAAATAAAATAAAATAAAATAAAATAAAATAAAATAAAATAAAATAAAATAAAATAAAATAAAATAAAATATGAAATGCAATGCCAAGTATGCAGCAGCACAGCCGTGCTCACATGGCCTCGCGTGCTCTGTGCCCGTGGTGGCACGGTGGGGGACCAGGCGCTGTCACCAGGCCCAGCGAGAGGCGGTGGCGCCACCTGCCCCCCCAAGCAGCGAATTTGGCTGCGTTAAAGTGGCTGGGAAGTCACAGCTGGAGCAGGGGCCTCTGCTCCTCACATACTTGCTGTGCTGGCAGTGACTTGGCCTCAGGATGCTGAGGATCCTGTGATCTCCCCTGACGTTCCTCCCAGCAGAGCAGCAAAAGGCCAGCGAGGCCAGCGCGAGCAGACCCCAGGCAGGCGCGGTGCTCCCCGCCGAGCCCCAGCAGAGGCGGCCCCAAGGCCTCGAGCCGCCTGTTCTTGCGGCGCCTCCCGTCACACACCCGCGGCCGGAACGGGCTGCGCTGGGCTGCAGAGCCAGGCGAGTCCCGCTGCGGCAGCCGCCCGGCAGGCACCCGCCRGAGCTGCGCACACGCGGGAAGAGCACCCGGCTGGAGTGGGGAGCTGCCGCCGGGAAAATGTGGACAAATCCGCCCGGCCGGAGCAGGGAGCTGCTGCTGGGCACACGCGGGAAGGGCACCCAGCCACAGCGGGTTGGCTGCCGTGTCCGCTCACGGGGCGTAGCGCGGAGCAGGCAGCCTCCTCGTGCTTTCTTGGGGTTCAAGCATTTGTTTTCTAGGATAATGACACTGCTGCAGCAACGTGCAAGTTACAGCAGGACCCTCAGTTGCTTCCAGGATAAGCAGGAAAATTGGGTAAAGAACAAAAGTAAAAAGTCCCTCACTGCAGTGCACAGTGCAGCAGCACACGCCAGTTCTAACCTGTGTGTGCACTTTTTTTTTTTTTTTTGAAAATGTAACTGTCAATCGTATTTATTATTTTTGGTTAACCGCTAACATATCCGTATTGCTCCTTCCAACTATGTTCAGAGAAGAAAGTTGCATCTTGGGCTCCCTCGGTCCAGTCTTGGTTACAAGCTCTGCCAGTGCCACTGGCCAGAGCACTCAGAGACAGGGACAGGGCTCCCAGGTGCGCAGAGAAGGAGGGAGACCTGCGTAAAACAGGGAGCAGAGGGAATGCGCTGGAATCCTGCTKCAGCTGTGGCACAGCACAGCGGGAGAGTGCAGCAAAAACGGACATTAACAAGAACTGGGTGGGAGGTCAGGAAGGAATCAGCGCAGATCAAAGATTTGGAAATACCCCATTTTCCTTTTTGAAGTCTCAGTTATCCATTTAGTCCAAAATTCAGATCAGTTCTGTCTAAACACAGAACCACAGAATGGTTGAGGGACCTCTAGGGATCACCCAGTGCAACCCCCTGCTCCAGCAGGGACACCCAGAGCACGGGGCACAGGGTGGCAGCCAGGCGGSTTKGGAAGATCTCCAGAGAAGGAGACTCCACAGCCTCCCTGGGCAGCCTGTGCCAGGGCTCTGGCACCCTCACAGGCAGGAAGTTCTTCCTCAYRTGCAGATGGAACTGCCTGGGTTTCAACTTGTACCCATTGCCCCTTGTCCTGTCTCTAGTCACCACCAAGAAGAGCATGGCTCAAACCCGTGAGCCTTGTGTCTTAGCAGGCAGGCACTTACTCTATCCTCAGGTTAATCAGTGACATTTCTTCTTTCCACTTTACAATAAGCCTGACAGCAAAAGCTACGCCTAGTTCTTCCTGCCCCGCAAAAACCAAAGTGTTGCATACCATGATATAGCCCTGGAAGAGGCTGCCCAGGGAGGCTGTGGAGTCTCCTTCTCTGGAGATCTTCCCAACCCGCCTGGCTGCCACCCTGTGCCCCGTGCTCTGGGTGTCCCTGCTGCAGCAGGGGGTTGCACTGGGTGATCTCTAGAAGTCCCTGCCAACCTGGAAGATTCTGTTAAATATACCCGTCCACATTTGTAATAACAATGCTCTCCAGCTAAATAACGCTATTCTGAAGGTACTAACGCCTCGCTCTTCCTTGCCTCCCTGCAGAATCTCGTATGACCCGAGCAGATACCCCAAGTACATCCCCGAGGCCTACTGCCTGTGCCGGGGCTGCCTCACGGKCGCCTTCGGCGAGGAGAGCCTGCGCTTCCGCAGCACGCCCGTCTACATGCCCGCCGTGATCCTGCGGCGCACGGCCGCCTGCGCCGGCGGCCGCTACGTCTACGCCGAGGACTACGTCACCGTGGCCGTGGGCTGCACCTGCGTGCCCGAGCAGGACAAGGAGGCCGCCGGCGCCAACTCCAGCCTGGACAAGCAGGAAGCCAAGCGGCTCGGCAGCCACAAAGAGCCCGCGCCCCGCTGAGGCCGCGCGGCCGGTGAGGGGCTGTCCCCTCGCTCCGCACGACCGCCGTGTGAGGAACCTTTTGTGGCTTTCTACAGTATTTGCTGCAATGGTCAATGTAGCTTTTTTGTTTGTTCCTTAGAGCAGGACCTTTTGCCTTTACTTATCCACAGTGAAATTTAGAAGAGGATGCAGCTRTAAGACATGCTAGATATTGTTATAGCAGACTGCTGGTTGTAGATAATTTTAAGAAGTCTCTTATACTCTACTGTTGACAGCCTTTTATAAAGTCACTTAACTGCTGCACACATGCTAAACCAGCAGTTAAAAGGATTGCAGACTAGCAAACCAGCAGTTAAAGTTTTGCAGACTAGAATATCTTGGCTTTTACACCGTGTGTCCTGACTCCATGCAGTAGCTGCCTTGGGGAACRTCTCTCGTATGAGGAGACTGAGTGARYTGGGCCTGTTCAGCTTGGAGAAGAGAAGGCTGAGAGGAGATGTGATTAACATGTATAACTACATGAAGGGAGATTGTAGGGAGGAGGGGGCCAAGCTYTTCTCAGTGGTGGCCAGTGACAGGACAAGGGGCAATGGGCACAAGTTGAAACCCAGGCAGTTCCATCTGCACATGAGGAAGAACTTCTTTCCTGTGAGGGTGCCAGAGCCCTGGAAGAGGCTGCCCAGGGAGGCTGTGGAGTCTCCTTCTCYGGAGATCTTCCMAACCYGCCTGGCTGCCACCCTGTGCCCCGTGCTCTGGGTGTCCCTGCTGGAGCAGGGGGTTGGACTAGATGATCTCTAGAGGTCCCTCCCAACCTTAAGGATTCTGTGATTGTGTGATTTCTACATGAGAAATACACTGGGCTATTTCTAAATCAAGATTTTCAGGCAACAATATTCTATATGAGTTTGCTATCTTTAAATATGCCAAACTGCTAAGAGCATAAAAGTGTTGAGAAAAAGCATTCAAGAATATTAGGAAAGCACAGCAGACTTTCTTGTTGTTGTTGTCATGGATTAAGTCTAACTGCACAGACAATACCAATTAGAAAGAACTTCATTTGGGAGGCAGCATTTCATCCTTAAGCTCTGAACTGTTAACGAGGCCACGCTCACCGGCTCCCGCGGACCTGAGGCGGAGCTGCCTCTGCCCTGCGGGGCTGCGGGGCTGCGGGCTCGGCCGTCACCCGCCCCAGCTGCGGGTGCGCAGGGCGCCGGGCGCTCTGAGCTCAGCACCGCAGCAGGAGCTGCCTGGGCGCGTGGGACCCGCCGGGGCTGCGGAGGAGGGAGCTGAGGCCCCCTGAGCCGGGAACGGCCCCGCAAGGGCTCCCTCCCGTCTCCGCGGCTGATCAGTCACCCAAYGAACCCCAGCAAGTGCCTTTTCCAGGGGAAGGGCTGGGACGCCAAAGAGAGCGGCCGCCACATGCAGCGGAACAGCTGCTGCATCAAGGTTACGCTTGGTCCGTGTAGGAGGGTAGCTCTAACCAACTCCTTTGGCGAGTATTTGAACAACAAATGGAAAGACTATGAGCTAAACAGAACTGACAAGGTAAATACAGCATTAAAATCAAAGACAATCTGTGTCTTAGTGTATAATCATTGACTTTTTATAACTCAATATAACCCTATTTTTATAGTACAATCTAGCTTCTCACATATCCTACAGAACATTAAGAACTCCAGGAACCTTTAAATGTAATAGATTCCTATCACAACGTCACACTGAAGTTTGTAATTGTGTTTCTATGCAGAAAACACATTTCTACATGTTTTCTATGTTTCTGTACTTTTTCACAATTATATTTGCCTTTGGATCTGTGTTTGCTCATATTGTGACCCTTGTATCTCAAGGGGGTTCTCAAGGAAGAGTTCAAAGCAGGTCATAGAAGTGTTGGCACTGCTCAGGTGGCTACATAGCTGCCGGCAGCTGCTGAAGGTGCTTCCTGTTCCCGGGATAACAGCCCCACTTTGGGCAATTGCTGCCATTTTCCATCCCTGCCAGTGYGGAAGAACAACTCAGCTCGGGGGGGAGCTGGTCACAAACAGTGGGCTCGGGAGGTTGGTCGGCTCGGTGGGCCCCACACTCCAGTGCCTCGGCCCCTGCGCCTTCACTCCTAACGCTGCAGCTCTTCTCTCCCATGTCCAGCACACTCAGTTGCACAGAAACACCTCAGAGGGTCACACTGGAGCTTTAGGCTCCACAGCACAGAAAGGAAAGTCTTTGGAGTATAACACGGCAAAACAGAAACAACTCCCAACATTCAGTAAAGATCCACAAAGGTTATTGGCTAAAGCACAGATATTAGTTTCTGCCAAACACCACGCTCCAACAGGAACCTCATCTCTCTGCCTGGCCCCTTTTGGAGCACAAMTCCGTGTCTGCAACAAATCGCTCACTAAAGCACATGGATTTATTTGCATGATGTGGAGAAAATGTCACATTCATTGTGGCTTTCTCGTCATCACTCATAGATTACAGAAGGGGGTGAGGGTTGCAAGTAGCTGGCGCGTGGGGCTGCAGGGGGCAGCAGGGACCTGCAACGCGGCCGCTTTGGCCAGTCCCAACAAACAGGGGCTTTCGCTCCCTCAAAGCCTCAGGAATCGGATGACTAAAAGGAAAGTATTAGGAAGTGCCAAAGCTCAGTGCATCGGTAGGTTACAGATGTTGGAGACCCCCTTCTCTTCATGCTGCAGCAAGGGCAGAAAGTTTCCTATGGTTACAGGAACCCTCATGTTATCCTAGTCAGAAACCCATTTCCCTCCTTTAATCCTCATCCTCTCTGAAGGATTTTCCAGCCGAGCCAGTTTGCCTCCAATCCAGCTTTCCAGCTGCGTGTCTCTCAAAGGCCGYGTTTATGTTTCAGAGTGAGCAACCGCTTGCTGATCATTTGCTAGTGACAACTGTCTGRTAGTATCTGACATCAGGACTATCAGCTACACCAACATGTTACCCTTCGCAACCCCCTTTCACACACAAGTCCCCGCACTACTGACAGGGGTAGGTCTGAGCACTGAAGGCAGCTTGGATGTGGTCGGATTTTTGTCCTTCTTCCCTGCTGTCACCACCCTGCGGATTGACCTCAGCTGCAGTGACGCTTTGCAGCTTCTGGCCCGTTGCAGACAGCCCCGCKTGGGGAGGGGGCTCCTCGGGGCTGCTCCAGCAGGCAGGTAGGAGCTGCCTCGCRGAGCCCCCGCGGCCAATAAGCACAAACGTTTCAAAGCTGGAGCTGTCGGGCAGCTGCAGCTCGTTTGAGAAAAGCTCTGCTGTGCCAGGAAAACCTTTCCCTTTGGTGAGGTTGTCCCTGGAACACATTAGGAGCCCAAACCAGAACAATATTCTCAGGGAGATTATTTCTCCTCTGTGTTATCCCTTAACAGAGACTGGGCAAGGCCTGTCCCGCAGGATGGTGGCAACGTGGAGCCATTCGTGGTGGTTTACCAGCCAGCGACTGTGTGTGTGTGTGTGTGTGTGTGTGTGTGTGTGTGTGCGCGCGCGCGTGAGCAGCCCGTGCTCTGCTGCTGCCGGGAGCAGGGGGCAAGGGCAGGTATCACCTGTGCTCAGGACGCCCACTCCCCCCTGCGGGACAGGGCACGGCTACAGGAGGGGGCCACACGGGGCAGGGCCCGTCCATCTTACCTGTGTGGCTGAGCGGCGCCGTGAGCTGCGCCCATCTCTGCAGAGGCAGCACTGCCGGCAGCAGAGCGGTGCCCAGTTCCGCCTGCTGGGACGGCTCTTGAAGCCCAGAGTTCTGCTTTGGAGGCCCGTGCTCTGGCCCRGGGACTGGAGTACTGTGTCCAGTTCTGGGCTGGATAGGACTAGAGGAAAYGGCCACAAGCTGAGGCACCAAAAGTTCCACAGGAACTTAAGRAAAMWWTTCTTAACAGTGAGGGTGACAGARCCCTGGAACAGGCTGCCCAGAGAGGTTGTGGAGTCTCCTTCTCTGGAGGTCTTCCAAACCCGCTTGGACGCAGCCCTGTGCCCCGTGCTCTGGGTGACCCTGTGTGAGCARGGGGTTGCACTAGATGACCTCTGAGGTCCCTTCCAACCTTGGGCGTTCTATGATTCTATGACTGCTCCCCACAGCTGGYGGTGACAAGGCCCTCCAGCAGGCGCCTCTCCCCTTTGCCCTGCTGTGCGGGGCAGTGGGAGGAGGCCAGCGCTGGGAGCAGGGCGGGCAGGGCAAGGGCAGCCCCACACCCCCAGCTCCCATGCTTAGGAGAGCAGCACAGAGGGCACCAGGGCACCGGGCAGCAGCGGGTGCAGCCGCTGCCCTGGGACGGGCGCCAAGCCGCGGCGGGATCAGCGCGTGCACGATCACCACGTTCCTCTGCCAGCCTCCGCTCACCRGGATGTGTGAAACCTCCTGTGCTGCAGCACGCGGAGAACCCTCTGGGAGAGGCACGATGGGTCTCAAAGCCWACCTGAAAAAAAAGAATGCCAATCACTACTTAACAGCGAGTAATCTTTTCTTGATCATCTTATTACAGAGAAGATAATTTGTTATCACGTTATAACACAAAGTATAAATTCATGATCAATTTTTGCACATTTATGACCCTTCCAGAAACACAGCTATTTCCTCAGAAAAAAAAGAAATAGCTTAAATCTGATCGTTGGTGAAGGTGGTCAATGCTACTAGTCAAGCCCAGCTCATGCAGCTGCCGGAGCTCACAAAGCCCTTTAGAAGAGGGAGGCCACAGAAAACAGGCGGCCCCATTGAGGGCATCTGCAAAGATTTACGTGTGCCCTCATTTCCACGGCAGGCATCTGCACAGGGCCTCTTTTCAGAGCAGCCTGGCCCACGTGTGAGCAGGGCTGGGCTGGGTATTTCCTTGGTGTGGGCACTAAACGGCCCGAGTGCTGCTGGACTGAACACACGCACGTTTCTTTGCCAAGACAACAAGCAGCTCTCTGATGAGGCCTCTTCAGGGCTTTAGTGGSGAGACCAACAACAGCTTTAGCAGAAAGAGGTGGACAAAGTGAAAGACCTTAACAGAGAAGCAACAAGAGAGGTAAAAYTTGCACCTGAAGAGCATGTTTGGTGATAAAGGGGATGAACACAATGCACTTTACAGCTGCAAAGAAGAGGTCTGTTCCAATACCTAGGTGTTCAGCCTTCTGTTTCGCTTTCTTTGAGACTCCAGTCGCATTAAAGCTGCGGCTTTACCCTCTAGGAAGCAGCTGAATGTGTCACTGGCAGGCAGCAATTCCAGGGGGAGATCCTGGCTTCCGTGGGCTCTGTGGCAGGAGCAGCTTCTGGTTTGAAAGGCAGAACGGCACCACGCGCTGGCTCGCAGGGCCCACGCGACGGCTTCGTCTCTCCGCTCCCCGGGAGCTCCTCTCCTGCTCCTCCTCCCTCTTTCCAGCACAACCTGCTGCCTTTACACCCCGCATTCGGCTGTGCTACCCGCTGCTAGCCACCCGGGTTTCTGTCAGCACGAAAAAGGCACAAGCGGCACGGTGAAACCAGGGGCACTGCAGGGACCGAGAGCCAGAGGAGGGAAGATTAAAGAAAAAAGAGAGAGGTGGCAGACGAGATGATCTCCTGGAGAGCAGCAGTGCCCTAGAAAGGTGTGTGTGGAGCAGCTGGGGTTCAGCCCGGTCAGCAGAGGCTGCGGCTTYGCTGCAGGGGGGACGCTGCAGCTCTGCAGCAGCGAGCTCTCCAGCCCACACGCGAGCGGCAGCCCTGACTTGCTGTGGCTCCTGTCTCAAAGCTTAATGAGGTTCATCCCCACCACGAAATACATTTCCTAGGACTTCGTTTTTGGAGCCTTCCTGTGCAGATGCAGCATTTCTGTTGGCCTTTTACATAATCCAAATATAAAAATATGGTGCATAAAGATAAATGTGTCATACAGTATACTTATAGTTGATAAAACTACCAAATGCTTTGGAATTTATCACTGTAGACAAACAGCCAGAGAAACCTGACTTCAAAAATTCCAGAGTTCCAAAAACATTTACCATCCCAAAGGACTTTTTTTTTTTTTTTTTGAATACAGTATCTATTTTGATTGAAAATGACTGGAAGACAGCCAAAATCGCTTATATAAAACTTTACATTTGTATTAGAAACAGAAGTTCATCAACACACTATGTTAAACCTCAGCAGTCTTATAAAACTCGAATCATTTCCAAGATATTTCTTTYCTACTTCTCCTGTTCCCATCTGCGGAACAGGAGGCAAGGATAAAACGGGGATATTTGGGAAAATAAAAAGGCCTGTTCTTGAAGCTACAMACTTGACATACCCATAAATCATCTTTAACTTGATTTTGAAATCTATTAAAATGCAGMCACTTTATTCAGTCAGATCCATTATGAGCCAAGATTTAAAGAACTAACATGTAGAGGCCACRTTACTAGTAAAAATATCTCAGAGGCAACAGCAAGCACCACTCAGACTGAAACCACATGAGCAGTTGGAGGCACTAATGCAAGCTCTGCCTTGCCCAGTTCCTTACCTTCCTAGTTACCACTTAACTTCGTCTGTGATCTAATGTGGAGGGTCCTCAATGAAGATAAATCTCCCTTGAAAGGGGAAAACCTTATTGTGTTTTTTTTTTTACAACAAAGCATCAGTTTTACAAGAGCTCTGCAGAGGTTAACTCACCTGGTAAATAGAAAACACTCTATTTTAAAACAGAAAGCTCAGGAGGTTTCATTGCTTTACCACCCCAAAGCAGATGCACTGCAGCTCTGCAGAGGTGCAGAGCTGCTTCTGTCGCTTTCTCCGAGCGCACAGACATTCATACACGAGTTTACACAAGGACAATTAATAACAAAGTATGTTTTATCTTTCAAAAAGAAAGCATGGAGGTTCCAGAAAAGGCAGACAACGATAACCACAATTGATAAAAGATGCCAGTCTAGCAAACAGCGGGCAATTTGCAACTTCTCTGCAACTCTTGGGTACTTCCAGTGATAACTAAGGCCTTGGGAAAGGCCTCCCATGCTCCTTCAGCCACCCACTAGTGACCAAACTACCGGTTTCTATAAATTATCATCACAGTGCTGCCTGGGAGGCAAGAAGCCCTGAGAGGCTGCTTAGCCGCCAAGCAAAGCAGCTCAGCCCAACACACTTCGAGAAGTCCCTGAAGAGGCCCTGGATGGTCAAACTACCCACGAGAAATGAATTCCAGCAGAAAGGCTCCCACTCTCCAGAACCTTCAGTGTTTTGATTCCCAGTTACTTAACAGGCAAAATACAAGCTGCAGTCATTATAAATGCTCACTCGTTTAAACGAAAGGCTGGCACGTGGTGTTGATTAGAGCTGTTCCAGAAAAAAAAAATTAAACACTGAAAAATACAGAATTCTGTCATTCCAAAGGAACTTGATTGCAAACGTTAAAAATCTTCTCMCAAAGGTCAGTCTAGTCCAGAGACATAATTCACATAACATCGAAATTCATTGGCTAAGTTGCGAGAGTGTTTTGGGATAAACTTGCACATCTTCACACCGAGATGCTTTGCTGCCTGCTCCTCCATGATTGCACCTGCAGCAAAAAAAAAAAAAACAAGTATTTGGTAAGAAAATCAGTAACAGAATGTTGGGGTTTTCAGACAGCTCCTCCTAGATCTGTATATTTAGCTTAGCTTTTTAAGGAAGCAAGGCCAAAAGCAACTGCAGTTTCAGTCCCGTCTAGCAACTGAAACTTTGGGGAAATTTCAACTAAATCTGAAAGAATGATGGAGGCCCTGAAGACATTAATGTCCCCAAAGTTTAGTAAGATCAGGTAGAGGGTAAAAATCACCGCCCCTTTTAGAGAAAACACAGAAATCTGGACTAGTGTTACATGCCAAAGCAATTACATGGTAGGAGTCACAGGAAATGCAAACAGATTACATGCAAACCCTACGGTGGTATTTACAGCTGCACTCTGAGAAATCTCTTCCCYGAGCACTATTTCCAAAACTGTCATCTGAGTGTGTGTGTCCATTGCAAGAAATGTGTCCAATGTGTCCACTGTGTCCAATGTCCATCGTTGTCCACAATGTGTCCACACATTGTGTCCAATGTCCCATGTGTCCATTGCAGGAAGAAAAAAAAAAAAAAAACCTTTCTGTGAGCCACCTCATGCAGGACTGTCGTTATAACTAAGCAGGGTGACAAGCTTTTAATGTCCAGGTACTCTTCTCATTTAGTCTTGTTTGACTTCTAGATCTGTACATCGTATTTTGCTTTCAAAGATGTTTCTTGAGCCACCTTCAGATCTGTGGCAGATCACAGTGTACACAACACCAAGACCAACGCAGCCATTCAAGGTTTTCCAAATTAGCCAGTGCATCCTCAAAGAGCAAGGCCTGCAACTGCAGGTGACAGTTTTCTAGTTTCACAGCTCTCATCACTGATATTTTATCTCTATTAATGTCTAATTTTAATACCTAAGAACTGTTTAATTTAAAATAATTTTAATAAATGTAATAAATTATAATAAATTATAATCCTCATACATTAATTCACATTACAGTTTCCATGTTCACCAGAAAGCAGCAGGTGATATGAATGTATATTTTTAAAGGCTTGGTTAAAACCACCCCATTTTACTGAGCAAGGACTGTGGGAGGACCATTCTAACCTATTTGTCATTCTTTCCAATGTGATTCTAGCTCAGTTTAGGTATTGTTGAGAAAGAACCAACAGCTTAAATCTTGTACCTGCTGATTTTTATGAAAAAGGGGCATTAAAATAACATTAGCAATATATTGCATCTGTATTTGTCATAGCCTGACTTCACTCAACCACGACAATTATAGAAAACATCCATTTCGCAAAAAAAAAATATTTTTGGAAAAGTCACAGGATGATCTTTCAAGTCTTTATAAAAATTAGGAAACACATTGTGCCGTGTGAAACAGTTCTGACACTAATTTAATGATTACAATACACATTTGTTCAGGTTAAAGAAAAGTTGAACTTCACYGGAGGAAGCCCTCCCGTGAAAAGTTCACCCTCTTCAGGATAAATATCCTTCCTGGAATTAATTCTAAACTAGTAYTACTGAGCTAGTGCCAGTCTCATTTAAGAAAGCGAGTTCCATAAAAACATTCACATCACCGTTAAGCTCCTTTCCTCTCTCAGGAGACACATATACCTGTGCAAAGCAGAATCTTTCCCTTCGTTAGGTATTTGACGGTCTCTGCGGTTTTCTCGAGACACTCCTCCGAGAGATAGGGTGGATCTGCTACCACGATGTCAAAGCTGTGCGGCAGGAGGCTTGCTGGCAAGCTCAGGGGACTGTTATAATCATAGAAGACAAATTCTTGCCCATACACAGCAAACCTCCGGTCGTACTCGAGTATGCACGCGGAAACCGCCGGGCCCTGCTGCTCTTTCAGCTTCTGGTACACGCTGGGGGCACTGACACACGCAATCCTGGAAAGAGGCAGCAGCTCAGAACATCAGCAGGCAACAAGCACAGAACGACCCAGAGCAAAGACAATTCCGTAATTTCTCAGGGCAGCTTTGCGAAAATATTTTAAGCATTTTTTTTGAAAACTAAGCAAGCTGCTTCTTCATTCTAACAGATATCTTATTGCAGTTTTGAAACTCAGGCTTTACATGTATTTTTAAGAAAGCATGCTATTGCAATAGTAACAGGAGAGAGGAAAACAAAGGAAAAAAAAAAAGAAAAATTAGATTCTTTCTTCAATAAGGATTTTGAGAAGAATTRGCTTGAAAATTCTCCTAGAAGTATTTTTTCAAAAACTGTTTTCAATCTAATAAAATGGTTGAATATGTCTCTCAGTTCCACACACAGTGTTGCAGGACAGGATCCACGGGCTTGACTCACAACTGGGGCTCTCACAGGTGATCTCATTAGGTCCCTTCTCACTGCTGGGATCTAACATGTTTTAACATCCAAACACCTGGTTCACTTCTCCTTTGGGGAAGTGCAGAGGAGCATCAGGGTCATAACACCTCCAAAAACCATCTCATTACTTCAATACAACCTGGGGAACTAGTGTGTGAAGCATTTAGGCCTTTAGATATCCAGTCTCCATACTACACAAAGACCTTAAGTGCAGTTATACAGAAAMGCTTATTTCACAAAGAAATTGAAAACTTAAAATTATAAATCACTCCTTAAAAAAACATGAGAAAACCAAATTCTTCCATCTGATGTAGAGTACTGTGTTGAAYGAACAAAGGAAAGAAGTACAAGCCATATTATACACAAAACACTGAAATCAAAATCCTAAAAAAATAATAAAGGACTCACAGTAAACTTTTACATGGCAGCACCTACAACAGTCAGTGAAATTTTATATGGTGAGAGAGTCTGAACTATTAATTGCATAAATAAATAATGACAAAGCACGTACAGCACCTCTACCAACTAAGAAGTACCAAGAGAAATGAATTAAACTTACACTCTCTTTCCATGCATGGAATATTTACAGAAAGCACGTAATAAATTTACAAAATAATCATTAGAACTTACTTGCCATCTTTGCCAGCTGCTGCAATAGCTTCATTAGCCAGGCAAGATGCAGTTTCCTCACTGTACCAAAACTGGCTCAGTTGCTGAGAAAAATAATAGGCAACTATTAACAATATCAAACCCTCCAAGTCTGCTGCATGCAGTCAGGTTTTGCTAGGCCCTCTTCAAGAAAACTTCAAGTAACTTCTCAGTTAGCAAACTGTAAAGTTAGAAGGGAGATGATAGACTCTTTACTTTCCTAATCCAGAATCAGGAAAATCAAGTACTGTGTCACTGGCAAGGTTAGCTCAAACCCAAAATGCAGATTCATGGTATTTAGTATTTATGTAYTCTTACACTGAGTTACTTTAAGGGAAGAGGAAGAAAGAACTTGGAAGGCGGACACCATGGAAGGAAATAAAAGATAAAAACATCGATCGGAAGAGAAGATCAGAAACAACGTGACAATTGAAAATCTAAAACAACCCACAAACCCAGAGAGTGAATCAGTCAATCACAAGAAAGAAAAAAGAAAAAAAAAAAGGGGTCAACTATCCACAAAGATATAAAATATAGAAACCATTCAGCATGGAAGAAAAGAGAATGATCTTGTTGTTGTGTTGTGTTTGTCTCACTTTCAGAGGGAATCTTCATTACTTTTGCACGCCAGACTGGAGTTAAAGTTTCCAGAAGGAATAGATACCTCTATGGGCAGCTTTATTCTCCTTGTGTAATTTTGGCTGGTGCCTCTCCACACACACAGAACAGCAAACCATATCCAGATTTACTAATGCAAACAGCCAGATGACTAACGCAAATAATCCTACAATATTACTGTTCATGAATACTGCCAGATTTTGCTGCTCTGGAACACCCCGGGTGTTCCCTTTTCTCATTTCATGATCAACTTATCCACAAAAGAAACCTGCTAACAGTCATTCCTGCCCCTGGGTCAGCAGGGCTGACTGGGCTTCATTCCCTGAGGTTTAGACTCCTACCCAGTTCTCCTCTATGGAGCCAACAGAGTATTGACCGGATCCCTGGGAGGTCTTCACGCCCTCTCTTTGCTCTTGCTCCAAATAGAATTCCTGGAGGGCCGCCAGCGCCTGGGATGAAAGCTGGGGAATGTCATCATCATCATCATCCATTTTTCTAGATATCAAGCGAAAAAAAAAAAAAAAAAGAAACTGTGAAAGCCAGAAAGCATTCAACACCAGCCTATTCTCCTACAGTAAAAAAGCATCCATGGATGCTCAGGCTTAGTTTAATACCCGAGTAGGAAGAGCTCTTTCCACATTCAAAATCTGCATTTTTTTTTTTTTTTTTTTTTGTCAAAATAGGTAGACTGGTTTGGACGAACATCACCTCACTACAACTCTCTTACTGCAAAAGACTCCTCAGAGTGCTTGAAATGGTCTATAAAGTAAAAAAGAAGTGGACAAGAAGTTGTTTAAGAAGACATTTTTGTAAGAAAAGACACCTTGACCAAGAATTTGTGCTTTTCATAGACGAGAACTGGCCATAACTGGCACCAAGCAGACACTGTGCACACTCAGGCAAGAGCGCAGCCACTTGCACACACAGCATGAGCCGAGTTGGTGTCCCTGACCCTGGGGCTCCCTGGCAGCCAAGCAGCAGCCAAGCAGAAAGCGGGAATGTCCATGCCTGTCCCAGAGGATTGACAGTGCCACCTCATGGAACACAATGGGAACGAAAGAAATCAAACCCAAGAAAATTACTCAGGAAAAGGGGTTTCTTTCAAGAAACGCCTTCTTTTGGCACTTGATCTAAGAATTACTACACACATGAGGCCTTTAAAAGAGCTTAAGAGAGCGTAAGGGCAATCCCCAGGAGCACGGGGGCAGCGCAGCCCCGCACGCCACGCTGCGCTGTGCAGCTCACGCAGGGCACACGGGACGAGGACAGCGCGGTGAGCAAAGCCTCTGCAGCCCTTCCCTGCACGCAGCTACCTCGGCCCCTGCAGCCGCCCCATTAAACAGCATCGGGACGCATGGGAAGCTCTCCAGAGAGCACAGAGAAGGAGGCACCTSAGCATTCTCCTTCCCGAAGCACACTGCTCCAGCGGGGCTGCTCCCAGGAGCTCTCCCTGCAGGCCCAGCAGCCGTTCTCGGCAGCATCTCACCTGCTGTCGAGGTCAGGTCTCCCACAAAAACCTACAAACGTGCTTTGGTAAACGCACCAGTAGAGGAACACACTGCTGCGCTGCTGTTTTTTCACGTTCACCCTTTTACAAACCACTGAAGAGGTCACCTCACTGTAATAAAATGTCGCCTTGCTGGTGGGAGGAAGGAGAGACTGGCCAAGAAACACTCGTCCACTGAAAAGCCTCTCCGCCAGCCTCCAAGGTTGGGAGGGACAGCACCAGCCCTTGRATCTTGCACGAGCATCACAATGGGTGCACATCAACTTCAGGGAAGATTTTATTCTACAGCAACGTGAACCTCAGGACAAATTGCACAAAACTTTGAGCAAAATAGAACTCTGATGTTCCCAAGCCACGCAAACTGGCATCTGAGACACAGCTCCTCACGYAGGCCACCCGGCTGCACCCCAGGAGGGGTGTGGAGGCACCTAGGTCTCCATCAGAGGGACGGCCCAGGGAGGAGAGGGCTGCACGGGCGCCCCGCTGCCCTCAGCACAGGCTTCACTGCGCTCCCGTCGAGCCTCAGCCCTTTCACACGCGCACGGACCCCAGCCCCAGCGCCCCAAGAGCAACACGGGGGTGGCCAAAAGGCTGAACCACAGAGCCGGGCTTCTGGTGCACAGTTTGCAAGCCACAGGCAACTCCCTTGTCACCGACCTGAGCGTGACTCCATTTCAAGATTAAATCTGGACATTTTTTGTTGACATCCATAGCAAATGGTTCATTAAAAAGCTGCCTTAGGGTCRTTCAAAGGCCAAGAGAGACCAGTCTTCTAAAAGCAGCCAAAGCAGAAGCCTCAGAGTCAGAAGCAGCACGTGTGTGGGATGCCTGCCCAGTACATGTTCCCATTTTTCACTGGGGAGATATTTCTGAACCTAAAACCAATTATTTTGTGAGTTTAGTTCTTTTCAGAACACTTTTTCAGCCTCACTTAAAWTCCCATGAAGATGTTTTTCAGATCTACGGGGCCCCTAGCACGGCCTTCTAGCATATGAAGGGGCTCTTGCTGTGAACGCAGCTGCCACCTTGGCTTRGAGGGCAGCTCAACCCCTTTCCCACTCCCCCGCTGCTTGGGCTTTGACAGACACTGAACCTCAGCTCCCTTTCCCACTCTGCAGTCTCTCTTCCCTACGGAAGAGTCTTAAGCCAYCCCGTTTACTCCTTTGCAAGAGTCTTTCCACACAGCTCATCCTTGCTACCRTTTTTAGAGGTGACTGCAGCTACACATGACATTTAAGCTACAGGTGACCGCAGATTTATGCTGTGGCTTGGCGATTTTTTTTTCCTGGCACATTCATTCCTTTCCTACAGACATCTAACACTTGACATGCTTTTTAACRGCCACCAAAGAGCAACAGGATCATTTCATCTAAGTTCTCATGTGCGAGCATGAACGCTCTTACACAAATAACATACAGAATGTAACGCAAAACTTCATAGGATCTGCCAAGATCACCACATACAGATCAAACCTACACAGCAGATCCAGTGCCTGCGGCACAACAAAAGGTGAAGAAAAACAAACAAACGGACAGCGGAGCTAGAGAAGACTCGAGAAGGGCAGGGAAGTACCAGACCAGAACAGCTTCGGAAGGGGAATGAAGGCAAGAAGTAACCAAGCGACCCCTGCACCCCCACTGCAGCCCCTGGGCCACCCCCCTTTGACATCCTCCTCGGCTACGCGGGACGCTTCGCTCCACCCCACCCCGAACCGCGCGGCGCTAACGGCCGTTAACGGTCACTAACGGTCGTACCCAGCCCGTTSCCGCCTCCCCCAGACCCCATGTCCCGCCGCCCCGCGCCCCGTCACCGCACCCACCAACGGCCGGATCCCTCCGCGCGCCCTGCAGCGCTCCCGGCCAATCAGCGCGCGCCGATCAGCGCGAGTCCCGGCGGGGGCGGGACCAGGGCCTGGCCTCACTCCGCCCCCGCGGTGGAAGAAGCGGCTCCGCCATTGGCTGGAGCGCGGCGGCCGCCGTTGCCATGGCCACGGGAGGGGCTGGCAGGCGGTGTCATGGCGCGCGCATGCGCCGTGGCGGGGGGGGGGAGGGCGGTGCTGAGCGGCCCTCGGAGCTTCCCGGTTCCCCYCGGAGCTTCCCGGTTCCCCCCGGAGMCTCCCGGTTCCCGCGGTCATTGAAGTGCCCTGAGCTGGCGCTCCCGGGAGGTTCCTGGTTATTTCAGGTGCCTTCCCAGAGCTCTGTTTCCTGCAGACTGGCAGAATTCTGCAGGTGAATTCTTGTAGGCTTGCAAGGATAGTACCTGTTAGTGGTATATCCCCTGGTTGAGTTCCTGGCCGCCCCTTTCTTGTTTTGTGAAGGTACCAGGTGCTTTTCTGGCACTTACGCAAGGCTGTGGCCTGAAAACAGACAAACGAACACTTAATAACTTTAGTTTTTTAGTTATTATTCCTACCTTGTAAAATACAGTGTTGCTGTCATAATTCATAATAAACTTCTATCACTTCTAAACTTCTTTCACGGAGTCCTCGTTAAATAATAACCTGCTAGCAGCTGGCCCCAGGGACGCTGCCGAATGACCCGGCCCAGCGTCTCCCCCTGCTCGGCACCGTCAGGCGCTGCCGCCRCGAGAGCGACGGGGACCTGCTGGCACCTCCTTGCACCAAACCCCGTCGCTTCTGGCCCTTCACGGGGTACGGCTGGACTGGAAAGCCCCCTGCACCTCTATCTGTTCATGTTATCACTGCTGAGGAAAGTGAACCCCCTAAATGCCCAAATCCCGCTTTCTTTGGGTTGCCGCATGAGTTACCAACATCCGTGCGGTGCTACCGAAGGCACTRCAAAGTCTAGTTAAGAGGCACTTGTCCAATCTAAATTCATTTACCTATTTAATTGCAAGGATTTAACACACATTTGTAAAAGATTTTAGGTGGAAGATGTTACATAAGACTGAAGAACAGGAGGGTAAAGGATATGGGGCACATATATAACTTTATAAAATTCCAGTTTCCYTGAGTAGTTGTCCCTCTTGTGCCTAAGGATCCCCTTTCCTTCCTAAAAGGGTTACAGAGACCAGAGCACAGTCGTGGGTGCCTGGGAAGGGTAAGAGGGCAACATCACTTAGGTTATTATGTCATGTTCAGCAGTAATTGGCAGCAAGTTTACAACTCAAGACCAGCCTCAAATCTGAGTTACAAGATGGCCTTGGAAGAGAAAATGACCTTTAAAAAGGAAAATGGGTTGCCTTGAAACACAAATTCTTTGTGAGGGAGAGGAAAAACAAAGCACAGAGATGGAAAGTCCTTCAAAGTGCAGGAAAGGGAAATTTCTTATGAATGGTCAAGTTTTCCTGTTTTCCAATCCTTTCACTCCTTTTTTTTTTCATTTTGGTCTGCTTAGTCCTCTTGCGATAGCACAAGCCATAGCCCTGCCAAAGGGTAGGCAGTGTAAAAATGGTTACATTTTAACCATGCTAAAAAAAAAAAAAAACAAATCCAATTTTGTAATCTTTGCTTTCGCCATTACATATATCTAAAAATGTATTAATTGCTTCCTTCTCCCCCGCCAGTTCTTGAGGCAGTTTTGGGCCTGGCCAGCTGCGGATTCCCCTTGGAAGCCAGCCAGGCCCTGCAATGCTTCATGCTACAAGGATCACGTCTAGTGAATGTCAGCATAACCCTGCTTATGAAAAAAAAGATGGAAAGTAACATGAAGTATTGTATTTACAGAACCACCTGTAATATCCTGTATGAGGAAAAACTCAACGTGCTTTTTGTTTCAATAGAGAGTAAAACGCCCATCGGAGCCCGTTCAGGTCATTATGTGGGTCATGGGCATCACTGCTTCCTTGAGAATCACAGGAGGGTTGAGGTTGGAAGGGACCTCTAGAGATCACCCAATCCAACCCCCTGCTCCAGCAGGGACACCCAGAGCACGGGGCACAGGGTGGCAGCCAGGCGGCTTTGGAAGGTCTCCAGAGAAGGAGCCTCCACAGCCTCCCTGGGCAGCCTSTTCCAGGGCTCTGGCACCCTCACAGTGAAGAAG